AAGTATCCTAGGGATGTTGAGAAGTTTGAGAGGGGGGTTTGTTTTTTGAGGATAAGTGTTTGGGCTATTTTTGAGATTTCTAGGGCTAGGAAGATGCCTAGGGCTGTTATTTTAATAGAGAACAGCAACCTCGCAGTTCCTTGGTTCTGCTGGAGCTGTTGCTGCATTCAGAGCCCTGTGTGCCAGGAATAAAGCCCTGGATTGCAATCCTCCACAGAACCAGACTCCTTTTTCCTTCACTTCACCCAAAGCCTTTCCACCAGAGGTAAACCTGAGCTCCTGCAGGCCTGGAGTTGTCCCAGGCCCCCAGCTGCACACCCAGCCAGCCAGGGGTGTCTGTGAGGTGAAACCACCACAGCTGCCACCCTTGGGCAAGCAGCAAGGCCAGACCAGCCCAGGCACGTTCCATCCGGCAATACTGGGATTTAATTTCACATCCGGCAATACTGGGATTTAATTTCGATACCTGATCATTTCCTCAACCTCTCCTTTCCCTTCCCTAACCCCTGCTGAGTGCTGTCTGTCACTCCTGGAATTCCAGAAGGGCATTGGGCCATCCACACGTGAAAAATGCATATTTTATGATTGGCCTTTCACAAATATTGAAATCAATATAAGTGCTGTGTTAGAAGGTAATGCTGTATTAATTCTCTTAAGTACTGTGTTAAATACAGTTTTAGGTTATAACAAAATGTTTTAATAGAAACTATGCTATGTAGGATACTTTTTTCTAAAGAAGGAACTCCTAAATCTTCCAGAGAAAAAGAATTTATTGCTCCATTATCAGGAGAAACCAAGTTCTTCCCTCGCTTGGGCAGGATGATGCTGTCAGGATTCAGAGGAAGAAGCTGATGACCAGACAGAATCCTGTGTTTGAATGGAATTTATGCACCATGTATGAGGTGTATGAATGTGCAACAGGTTTGTGTTTTTAAGGGTTAATCCTCTGTTAATGTGGGTCCTTTTGTGGGCTTATGCTGCCCAGAAAAAGGTACCCAGATGTCCATAACTCATTGTTTTTATTGTCTCATATTATCCTAATCCTAATTGTCCAAATTATTATTACTCTAATTGTATTACTATTTTTATGATCGGTTTATTACTATTAAACTTTTAAAACTTTAAAAACACGTGACTGGCATTTTTCACACCCACGTGTCTTTGTCCCTTTGTCCCTCCCCTCCTGTCCCTGTTGGTGGCTCCCTATCCCTTCTGCCCTTCCCCTCTCCCTGGGGTTCAAAGGAGCAGCAACCACGAGGTTTGGGAGTTCTGTTGGAGCTGCTGCTGCATTCAGAGCCCTGTGTGCCAGGAATAAAGCTCTGCATCCAAACCCTCCATCAGAACCAACTCCTTTCCTCCACCATCACCTTAAAGCTTCACCAGAGATAAACAAGAATTTCACACCCACAATTTCAAAGAAAACACTTAATATAACCCAGTGTTTCTATAATTCCATATGCAGAATCTGCACTTGCAATAGAGGTAAAATGCACCCATAAAACCACCCAGAGAAATAAAACAATAAATAAAAGACACAGATAAAATACCTGCAAAGAGCCGGTAGGTTCTTTGGCCTTTGGAAATTTTACTTTTCACACCAGGAGATAGTAGCTCTGGAGGAGGAAAAACAACCATACATTAGAATTTCCATATCAAGAGGATCAATTATTTTTCAGAGAAATCAACACTATCACAAAGGAGAACATTTAATTGAAATTTCTTCTGCAGCCTTTAAAGAATGGTCATGGTTCTGATAACTGGTAATCAAGGGAGTGAATCTGCAGGTTTGCAATACTGTGGTTTATGAAAGGTTAAAAAATACCACCCAAAATGAAGGGAAAATAAGACATAGTAAAAAATCAGATTATTCTATTTTCCCCCTTTCACTCCTAGGAGGATTTGATCCTTGACAGAATCAATTTCAGATTCCAAGTCATGCTCACATTCCTAAAAGAAAACTGCACAATAAAATATTAAGTAAAACAAAAGGGCACTGCCTGACAAGGCCCAATCTCAGCTGAGATATGAGTATACACTGATTTTATTTATTCCTATTTGAGCTACTGGCTGGCTAATAATCCATTTGTCAGCTCAAAACAAAAGGCATTATTTTGGCAGGTTCAGATGTTGGACAATTTCCAATCTCATTATTTAAAGTCAGTATCTCCCAGGATACTTGTTAAACAAAGGATCCTTATTTAACCTCTGCACTATGGATTGTCTACCTTCAGGCTGCATTTTCAATAAAACACCAGTTTCCTTCCAACTGCCACTCATTAATTAAATAATTTGACACTTCTCTGAATTAAATTTGTGATAAATTATCCAATATTGGCAACAGTCTTGTACAGACAGGGGCACAGATCCAAGAGGATCACTTCCCATATTTCCCTCAGCAGCCTATATCCTCACTCTGTAAACTCACAAGAAATTCTCATTTGACCAACCCAAAACCTTTGGGACTTCCTAGGCAATCAGATCTTTGAGCATAAATAACCCCCACAAAATATTCACCCAAATGACCAAATTTTCATACAACGACGAGAACAAAATCTTGTGTGGGAGAAAATTAAAACACAGACAATACACTGTAGGAAATACAACATTCTGTTTGCCATGAGGAGAGAGAAATTCTGTTCCTAAATCTCTTGCCTTTGCTGATTTCCAGATCAACAGTATATTCAATATTCTTGATCAGCTTCTGGCACCCTCCAGTCTTCTCATAGACGAAGCGTTTGAGGTGTAAAACCAGAACAGGGGGCAGCTTTTCCAAGGTGAGTCTTCGACTGATCTCCACCTGAGAGCATTTCATTTTAAGCATTAAAATTGATAGCAATAGAATTTTCAATTTAAGTATTTAATTTTAAATACACTAGCAGCAAACAAAACAAACTCTACATTTCTTATAATTGCAATATTAATTTATGATAAATGCTTCTTTGTGACTTAAAGCCCACTGGATCTTCAATCCTGTCACTGTTTCAAAGGAGAACTCAATATATTCAAAGAGAAAAATGTGAGTTATGACCAAACTTTTCTCTACTAAATAGTGATTTTTATATAATTATAACCAAACAATCCACAAAATTTCTGCCTGGAAACCAGGAGCCGAGCTCAGAACTGCAGAACAAAAATGTTTTGCCTTCCTAGAAATGAAGACATGAAAATATTTCTCAAAATAGCTATTTAAGGTTTTTCTACATTTTCTGAGAAAAATCTCTTTATTGGTAACCATGAGCATATTATTTTTCAATGCATGGCTTCATTCTGCTAGAACCTGTGTGTTGAATAGAAACTCATGGGGGAAAAGTATTATCTCTTTCCAAGGTTCTACAGACAATATATTCAGTGTTTTTACTACAATTTTAATGCAAAACCAACTATTTCAATTTGAATTTCTTTTGAAAAAAAGATCTGGAAGACACTGTAGGTGCTTGTATTACCATCCAAACTCTGAAATATCACAAAGCACCTAACTCATTTCTTCCAACCCAGCACTGAGTTGTCAGTCAAAAACTCTAAACTATTTGCAGTAAAAAAAGAAAAAAAAAGAAAAAAAAAAGAAAAAAAGAATGGTAAGCAAAACAAGATATTTGTGGTAAATCATCATCAGCTTGCAAAGAGCTGCTCCTTTACTAACAGCATCTGGCAATCCCCAGGAATCAGTAAATTTATATAAATAATGTATAAAGTTTATAAAA